CAAATTGCAATATGATATACATCGTTTTTATCCCAAGTCTATTATTATGAGTCTTCAGAATAGAACAGCATAAAATAAATTTCCGCGAATCGACGTTATTTGTTCTAGCATCCGTTAATCTATCGGCTAAGTGTTAAATAAACTCAACATCCATAATTCTTAACAAAAGGACGCAATTTAGAATACTAATGCAACATTGTTCCAGGCTAAACTGGGTTACTTGATAAATAATACAAAAGATCATACGACAGAAGTGCATTCTGGCCTATTGTTGTACGTGGTTTAATGTTATTGAAATTTGTTGCGGTCATTTGTTTAATTGTTTTCTGTGGAAGTTGGAATGCTAATTTTTAAGCATCAGGAAAGCATTCTAATGTGAAGGTAGGATATTGAAACATCTGATCAGATACAGATAGATACTATGGTAAATTATAAGAAATAATAATAAATTGATAGTATTTTAGTATTATTCTGATTTCTGATAATTAGATGGCCAATAACATTTTTCTTAACTGCCCGAGAAGACATTTAAGTTTCGCCAGAAAATCCGACATGCTAATTTGATATTTTCTCAACAATTCAAGTCTATATGATTTATTTCTGGAGTTTGTGTTTGTTTCACTAATAGAGATCAGAAGTCAGAGCAAGAAAATATTGCAACACTCTGTCGAATTAGTGGTTCTCAATATACTTAAAAACGAAAGCGTATCTTATTTTATATTCGTGACCGAAAAATAAAAATTGTTTTCTTGATAAACGTTACCGGAAGAAACATTATCGATTATTACTTTTTAATCTAATTCCACTCGATAAAAAATATAAACAGTTTTAGCGTCATATCGAATAAGCGTGGTAAAATTATATATCCACAGTCCAACTTAGCTTAAAAAAATATAGGAATTTTAAAAATACTTGATTTCCTAACTCTTTGAAAGAATAAACGTTTATTTGATTTTTTCTTATATTCTTTAATACAAATGACTTTTTTTCTAAGTAAACTATCTTTCATAATAAATTTTATATGAGATTCTTCAATTTTTATTTGGTAAATTGGCCTGAAGATTTTGGCTGAATTTTAATTATTATAAAAGCTTAACATATATCTATATATCTATTACAAAATCTAATTCAAATTTATATAGATCAACACCTTCGTGGTATAATAAATCGAGAGGAAATTATTCCCATGCTTTAAACATATTGACCTCCATTAAGATACACGTTACATGTCAACGGGAACACAAATTCCCTTCTTGACATTTCAGTAATTATAAAACAATAAATCTCTACACACTAAGGGCCGTATTTTATTATACTATTTCTAGAAATAATGGATTTTATTTATTTCCTAATTTTGCTTCATAGTTATGCAACGTTTCCAATATCCTTCTTGATATCTGATCAACTGAAATCTATAAAAGTGCTAAACCAAAATTACTATAAATTGATGGACACAAAGGATAGTATGTATTTATAATAAAAATATAGCAGTCCTGGGAGTTACTTTTTGAAACATGTTTCAATAGGAAAAAGATTGATAAAAATTAGTCTTATTTATTTATGTCGCAAAAAATAGATATTTAAATTAATATGTTTACATTAAAAGGGTCAAGGCAGCATTCTTTGACATGGTCGGAGTCAATGAACAACAGAACCAAATCATTATTTATTGGATCTTAATAAAAGTTAATATTATAAGAACGCCGAAACTAACTGGTGGTCCTACTCAATGTCATGAATTAAAATTGACATAGATATAGTTTATATAAATACATAATGGATGAAACATTTATATAAAAATTTAATTAATTTATGTTGCGTTTAATGAATATTTACTTAATGGAAAATTACTAAAAATGTATCATGTTTGTTTTATTTTTAGATATTTTAGTATTTTTTATTTTATTTCAGGGGTGCATTCGGAAGGTGTATCATATTTCGAAGATCGCAACACGCGGTTTTCACACGTTCGCAAATTGGTCAGTTCACACCTGGAAAATCAACCAAGGGAAAAACAACAACCGACCAAGCTTTTCAAGTAAGTTTAAATTCATTAAGACGACCAAATGACTCCTGAATTTTCGTTCATTCATTGCCCCGATTTTTTCCTATACTCAAGAAGCTTTATATTTTAATTTAAAAACTATCAATACGATGACGCATTAATATATTAATGTCCTCTTGTACTTAACCTATATTCGTCACAGACAATAAATTAAATAGAGTGCTAACTGGGACGCAAACTTCATAGAAGTGGTGATAAATATATTACTAATACGAATTATATTTAAACGTTTAATGGTTTTAAATGTGTTAGGTGTAATACAATTGATTCCTTGGTGTAAGTTGTATTTGGGGTATTATAATTGGATATTATTTTTTGTGCGAATATATCATTAGTTCTCCATTTCCAACTAAGTATTAATTTTGTTGCAGTTGGAATAAATTGCCATTAATGCCACTGCCTTCACCATCTACGGAAAACTTCATCGAATACCACCATGAAACCACAACTTCATTTCCAGTCACCACAGTGCGAGCAACGGTTCCAGAATTACAATACTCAACGGCTACCAAAGTAGAAGTGATACCACATACTAATGGCACTGACGATGCTTCTCCAAAACCGAAACGTAAGGGAAAACCAGGAAATCAGAAAGGCAATAAGAAAAAAGAAGGCAAGAGAAAGCTTCAGAAATCTGGTGGAAAAAGCAATGAAAAGGAATTAAGTGCTGAAGCTTCTGAAAGAAGACTTAAAAGAACTCGTTTACGTCAAGAAAGACTTGAAAGGTTGGAGAAGAAAAGGCAGAAAAGATTAGAATTAGCTTTGAAGCGCAAGAACAGAAAGAAGAAATTTAAGACTACAACTTGGTCGTCTGATGATTTGGTAACGCCAGCATCTATCACTGAAGAACCGTTAATTCAACACATAGCCAGTAGTACCCAAACCGTTGACTATAGTCCTACACCTGAAGTAGAAGCATCTTCAACTGCCCACCCAAATCATCTTCCAAATTCCGATATTCAGGAAAGTACACCGGGTCACAAACCATCACATAAGTTAAAGAAAAAACATCACAATAATTCTCTCAACGGAAATTCCAATACTGTTCGACAAGAAAATCCAGTTCGCGATCAACGAATGAAAGATGGATCAGGTTTTATTGTAAATGCTTTTGTAGATGATGTTGTTAGTGGTAAATTGCAAGCAACAACTACTGAAAGAGCACCGGTCACAGAAAACTATTCATCTCAAACGACAATGAGCAATAAAATCACCAAGGATGAGGTTTGGTTCGGGGATCTATCTTGTTTGAGTCCGTTTGTTCTGGCACCAGAATCTATTGGAGCACATATAACTTATAGAAGGTAATGTAATAAAAATGCTTTAAGATCAGAATCGTCGTCAGTAGAAATTTCGTGAGTTCATTTAATTTTTTATTACTTGTTTTCTATTTAGGAAAGAGTTTTACAAATTTGTGTATATGGTGGCAGAATACAAATGCAAACCAGGTTTACGTCTTTCAACGTCCCATCCTTGGATGATATGCCGAAACAAGAAATGGCTAGGAACAGTTCCTGGATGTGTTGAGATTGAGGATCCATCTGAATTAGGAAACGATTTGAATGTCGGTTTCAAGAAACCTCCTTGTTATGGTGGTCGTGGCAATTGTGATCATTTGTGTGCTGTTTACAATCGTACTGAAGAAGTTTGCAGCTGCTATAAAGGATTTCGGTTAGAAGGAAATGTATGCCGAGGTAAATTATATAGCACTTGCCTAATAATAATTAGACAAACAATTCATAAACAGTAAACATATGTAATGTTTTCTTTCCTAATAATAAGAATATAATACAAAGAAAGTTTTCCATTAAGTGTCCGAGTTATTAAAATCTGCATATTCAAGTACTTTTGTTAAAAAACTTTCGCTTTTTCCAAAAGCGACATGTATTGTTAGAATATATTTCTATTTTAAGAATACTTGAATTATTATCACAATACAAATATTTAGTTAACTCGTATAGGAATACTTTTGTTTCGTTTTCATATTTAGATATAAATGAATGTGCTTCAAACAACGGTGGGTGTGAGAATGATTGCATCAACACGATTGGATCATTTTCGTGTACCTGCCCTCCAGGACTAAGATTGGGAGATGATAAGAAAAATTGCATCGGTATGTAATAAATGAATTAATAATATACATTTTTGTTCTAACATTATACATGATTCATCTAATAATAATTAATTTGATATATTTATTAGATATCAATGAATGTCTATTAAACAACGGCCATGGTCCCTGTCAAGATGGTTGCGAAAATAGTTGGGGCAGTTACACCTGCAGTTGTGGCCAAAGAGATGGTTTGCGAGGCACCAGGCTCGGCCCGGATGGCCATAGTTGTTTAGCAGGCGAAGATGATTGCTTGTCTGGTGCTGCAGGTTGTTCACACGATTGTATTAATTTACCTCTAGGACGGGGTGCTTTTTGCACTTGTCCTGAGGGGTGGACTCTTCAAGATGATTGGAAAACATGCAAAGGTAATAACAGAAATATAATGGCATGAATGAAAATCTACTGCTTAAATATCTAACACTACTACAAAATTGGAAAGTTAGTTTGTTAGGTCTAGTGAACTGAAAAAATGACTGTATTTATAAATTTCCTGTTCTATGAAATTTTTCTAATATTTTTTTTAGATGTGGACGAATGCGCTGATCCTGATCTCCAATCACCCGAAAGAAAGTGTGATCCTGGAACTTGTGAAAATTTAGAAGGCAATTATAGATGCTTGGAAATTTCTGTGATCAATGATCAACCAGCAGAATTAAAAACAATCATTTGTCAAGATGGCATGAAGCCTGATGATACCGGTCTGAAATGCGTCGGTTAGTAAAAAAAAAAATTACTATCTAAAATGATTCTTTTGAGGATTCCTTAATTCCTTAGACTATTTCTTGATTTTTTTATGATTGATAGATATTGACGAGTGTCTAGAAGATAATGGAGGATGTTCCCAACGTTGCATCAACACAGAAGGTAGTTTTAGATGTGCTTGTCAACCAGGCTATGTTTTTGGACCTGATGGCGTAAAATGCGTTGGTAACTATGGATAAATCCCAAAATTACAATATTTTATCTTTTACCATGGCATTATTATATATTTTCAGTGAGCGCTATCGATATTGCCTGTCCGGCTTTGTATCCACCCAAACATGGGTTCTTGGAATGTAGAAGGCCAAGTGCAAATCCTGGTAACTAGGAATGCGTCTTTTTATTGAATATAGTTTATTTTTACCAGACATATCATTTTTTTCGTAGTTCTGCACAACACTGAAGGTAAAAAAGGTCGTTTCATTCGCACCCGGTCCGGAAGGCGCAGGGTGACGAACATGCCGGGTACTCAGTGCCATGTCCGGTGTCGGAAAGCTTTCCGGTTAGAAGGCACATATCAGCAGGTTTGCCAACATGATGGCAAATGGGCTGGAGACGATAAGGGAGAATGCATTCGTAAGTCGCCGAAGAAGAAACGCGGCCCTAAACATAAAAAACATTCAGAATAATAAATATTTTAAATTAATTTTTAAAAAATAATTATTGATACGTAAGCGAAGGGATAGCAAACGTATATTATTTGATTTGCTCAAATAAATAATTGTTTGAATATTGAGTTAGTGGGCGACGCGCTTGTCATTTTTTTATATCAAACATATCTTCGGTTTCTACTTATTTATCTCTAAATAGGTTGAAAATTTATAGAATTACTTTAAATTATTCAATTTCTTTATCCACATATATAATATAAAAGAATTTTATGAATAATATAAGCAAAATATTAAAAATCGTAGGTTCCATTTTTTGTTTCGTCAATTTTCTTTAAATTTATAGGCAATCGTTTAAACATGTGCATTTATTAAGAGTAGTTCCAAAAAAATCTATAACAAACTGCCATTTAATTTAAACAAGAATCAAACACTGCCAACATTTGATATATTATTTATAATTTAATAATTATCTTAATTAATTACATCTAAAAGTTAGAAATGTATAATTAATATAGGAAATACAGATAGGTTTTATATATTCTATTCGCTCGCAGCATTTTAGGTATAATTAAATTATAATTCCTTTAGCAAATCAAATTTAGATTAAACTTTAAATAAATTTAATAATAAAACTTTTTATTAACAATTATATGCAAATTGTTAACTTGGGGTAACAGTAGCAATTATTTCTGCTATATTTTCTTAAAGAAATTGAATTTAATAACTTATTTCGGATAAGATTAACAATACTGATTAGTCCATTTTTCTAAATAAAAATTAACTATTTCATAAATACGTAAATAGCGATTAATTTATATATATCTAAACGTTAATTATAAGTACCTACGTGTAATAATTTAAATTTAGATATCGCTTTTATGTTTTGCATGTTATGTATATGTTATGTTTTCAATTTTATGTTATTGATTCATCAGATTATTTATGTCATTATTTTTGGTACAAAATAAATTTTGTTCGTTCAATGTTCTTTTCTTGAAATACTAACATCTGTCTATATGTTACTAAAATTTGTCTCCAAAGTATTTTGTACTCCTATCCAATGGTAAATGCATGCAAATTTTTGTCTTTTTTCTACAAATATTTTCTTTTATGGAATTATCAACAATATCATACCCATACATATTTGATTATGTGTTATTTTCTTAAATACAATAATATTTTATCTGGTTGTTTCTCGATTGTTATTCTTGTTGTGTAAGTCTTCAAATGCAAACCATGTGCAAATTAAGTGTCTAGCATGTTATTATGTCTGCATGATTGTTTATAAATGTAAGAATGTTTTTGTCGGCAACTATTGAGAAAGTTTTATAGGATTCTTTGATTTGCAAAATTGCATATAAATTTCTTTGGGCTTTTATTTCTCCAATGTACGCGATTGATTTTCGATGAAAAATGCGATAGAATAGAAGAGGAATGTTTAGATTAAAATTGCATGGATTGTGAAATACGTGTGTGTGGCATATTATAATATATTCACATATAAGTGAAATATTTTTATTGAAATTTGATTTTGTGGAAATATTTTGAATAAAGTTTATTAAACAATATACAGCTTGAGAATAATATTTAAAGTGATACTAGAACTAGAGTCGAGAAGAGTAAAAGTACATTTTTTTTAATTAATAACAATGAATTTCAATTTTATATTTTTTGGGATCATTTTAAATGGCTTTCTGCAGTTTTTCTTACTAAAACATGAGGTATGCATGTATACATCTTGAATTATTTTTTCTTTGGTTGGTTCTTTATAGAAGATATAATGTGGATATTGATTTCGTTGCATTCGCCTGCTCCTTATGTGATATCTATTGGGATTCTATTACTCTTAAAATTACTGTATCTTTATTAATTTCTGAATTTATTTTTTTATTTTCAGGTTCAGAAACTTACTCTTCCTTAGAATTGAATATCTAAATACATGCACCTTCTACCAAGCACATATTTAAAGCTAACTTACCTATCATTTTTCATAAAATAATTTAATTGTATTTATATATTTCTAGTTATGTCATTTATGTTTTACATTTTTATCTTCATCTGTAGTTATAAAAATAATTTAAGTATAAAATTATATGTAATTATCGTTATCGTAAGGCATATTTATATGATAAAAATTTCTATTTAAGAAAGTGAGTATCTATTCTTGATTATTATGAAATCTTGTCTAATTTTAAAACAGTAGATTTTTTTAAATATTTTGAACATCTGATTATCGTTGCATCTTATTGGTCCATTATATTAGTTTTCCAAATATTGGCATTATTCTAATCCTATTTTATACCTGTAAAAATAGTAATTTATTTATTTCATAACGTATACAGTTTTAACAATTTCTTGTTAGTGTAGATCATTTAAATTTTTTTCCTGGAAATTTCGTATTCGTCTTACTGCACATCCTTTTGGAGTTCTTTTAATCTACAAAATGAAATTAATTTTTATTATTCCAAAATTAAAAAATACTCTATAAATTAATATCACAAAAGAAGATAGAATTATGAGTAATTAAATTCAGTTTTTAATTGATGTCTTAGAATTAAATTGTTGAAAGCATCGATTATTCAAAGTATTTTAATACTTACATGTTTCAATGCAGAGATTTTTTGTGGTGATTTATTTTCGCATATAAGATATAAATTATATCTTGTACCAGATAACTATTGACATACAAAATTATATTAGTATGTTTTAAAATTTAAATAAAATATTTTAAAATTTATTATTTTTGAATTTTATACGTACTTGTTGAATGCCACGGATTGCTCTTCTATCTGTAACAATTTACAGTTTTTATTAAATATAATTGCCAAATACTAATATTTACTAATAAGGCTGATTATATAAATTTTATAAATATATTAAGTTTATTTTTAAATTTTTTACATGTTATGTAAAATATTAATGTTAGATGTTATATTCGTCAATGAAATATATAAACTGAAATAGGATTTTATGTAAGTAGTATATATTAAATTTAAATAAAATTTTAATAAATGTGTATCGTAAGTAATCTGTTATTTAATTTACCTCTTATATTTATGGTAAAAGTGCATTCTGCCCTGTTTCCTATAAAATCAGTTGCTACATATCGTATATGGTGAAGTCCAGAAATCAGCTGAGTTCCTGGTGCCTATATTTTATTTATTTAATACAACTCATATAAAAGGTAATCCGTTTTCTATAAAATATTAATAATATTTGTAATAGATATTTTTAATAATTTACATGTGATGTTTTAAGGTCCATAATCTGCTGTGTTGGTTGAAATTGTGGAACAGGCCAAATGACACTCCTGGATTTTTCTCCTGGATTTAGTTGCACTTCAAATGAACTAGGACATCGTACCACGGTTAATGGTTCCATAACTATAAATTGTTAAAGTACATAACACTGGAATTAATATTAAGGTAAGATTAGTATAAATATATTTACCTCTAACATTTACTGCAAATCTACAAACTGCAACTTCTGGACTAGCTGGAGTTCTGGCTCGGAACGTTAAGAGCGTTTTTCCTGGTTCAAAATTTCCTACAAGTTGTTTTGCCCACGGTGGATAAGAATCCACATATCTATAATAGTAATAATTCTCAGTAATTAATATTTTTTAATAAATATATGGAATGTATTTCAACTTACTTCCACCAATCGACATTGGATTTCGGTCTTGGTATCCATACATTTCTTGCAATTTGTTGATGAGGTTTTAATTGTACATTAATATCTTCTGGACAAATAATGAACGGAGTCAAACTATCTACGAAATATTTGATAATATTTGTATTCGACATTAAATGCCTGATTTATATTTATATTTTATCTTACCTTTAGATTTATATTTATCTTACCTTGTTTTCTATTACATCTAATCAGTGATGTGTTATAATTCCATTCGTGATTTTTCATGCAAATGATAACTTTGTTATATGATGATTTATATCCTGATTCGCATTCTAAGTAACATGTGTCTCCAGGAATATGCTTACCTGTGTTGCAGCTCTTGGGATGAAATGTTCCATGTTCTAGATTTGGTAAATCTGGACACTTTGTAGGTGCTAAATAATCAAATCAAATAGTATTTGATGTGGTGCAAATAATTTTTTGATCAAACTCACCAATGCATTCGATATTTATATCAGTATTCCATATCCCAATTGATTGGTTGCAGTGAATTTCTGATTTTCCAAAAAGAACATGGCCATCTGTGCAAGTTATTGAGCATTTAAGAACAAAGTTTTCTTCTATGCAATCTATTCTACCGTTTTTAGGGAAACACAATTGCGGGCATTTCTTAACTTTTTCTAAAATATATATTTGGTAATTTTATAAGGACATAAATATTTTATTACTGAATATTATGAAAGTGTTACTTTTCCAAGAATGAAGTCTTACTCATACAACCGCCTGTGGGTAACACCATATGATCTTTAGGACACAAACATTTATAACTGCCAATTGAATTCACACATTGATGTTCACACAAATTAGCATATTTTTGGCATTCATTTACATCTTGGCAACTTCTGCCATTTGTTGCTAATTCATAACCAGAGTTGCAAGCACATTTAAAATTACTTTCTTCATTGATGCAAATATGATCACAAATTCTGGAATATTTCTGGAATTCACATTCATCTATATCCACACAAGTTACCATATCAGATAGTAACTTATATCCGTTTTTGCAATAGCAACTTGCTTCGTTATTGATGACTCTGCATCTTTGAGAACAAGGTTTTTCTAAACATTTATTTTGCCTTAAGCAAAACTTTAAATTGTTAGATAAACTGTATCCATTATAACATTTGCAACTGTATGAGCCTAAAGTATTTTCACAAATTTGTGAACAGCCTCCGTTATTTTGTGAACACTCATTAACATCGATGCAAGTTACCATATCATTTGATAAAGTATATCCTTTAGGACAAATACAGTCATAACCGCCTTTTTTATTTACACAATCATGTGTACAAGGATTTTGAAGAATGCATTCATCAATATCAATGCATGTTAGATTATTTGAGGATAACATATGGCCTAAATCGCACTCGCATCTCCAGCTTCCTAAAGTGTTCACACATAAATTGGAACAATTACCATTGTTTATCAAACATTCGTTAATGTCAATGCAGGTTTTATTATCATGTCCTAAATAGAATCCTTGATTGCAAGTACATTCGTATGATCCTTCTAAATTAGAACAAATTTGCGAACAATCATTGACATGTGCACATTCATCATAGTCTGCACATGTTTTACCATCGTCCAATAATGTATAACCATCAAAACATTGGCATGTGGTTCGATTTTTATTAAACTCACAAATATGTTCACATCCTCCATTAGATTCCAAGCAACTATTTATAATTTGGCACGCATATTCATCAACAAGTTCATAATTTTTTGGACACTTGCATTCAAATCCACCAAGAAAATTTGTGCAAATATGAGTACAACCGCCATTTTTATCAACACATTCATCTATGTCCTCACAAGTTGTGCTATCATTTTGCAAAACATATCCTTCTTTACAATTGCATGTGAATGAACCATTAGTATTCATGCATAGTTGTTCACAATTGTGCATATCGTTGTCACATTCATCAAAATCTTCACAAATTTTATTGTTTTTAGATAAAACGTATCCTTCGGGACAACTACAAAGAATTTCATATTGTTCATTTGTTGCACAGTAATGGGAACATCCACCGTTGTCCATACCACATGGATCAGTGTTTTTGCATTGATTATCTACTGTAATAAAACCAGCCTTGCAAATGCATTCATAACTACCAATACTATTTTCACAAACTTCATTGATGGAGCAAATATTTTCTCCTGAGCATTCGTTGATGTCTTCACATCTACCATCAGCAGAAATTTGGTATCCGGAGTTGCACTTGCATTGATAACTGCCTATAGTATTTTGGCAATAGTGGCATTCGATATTGTTTTCTAAACATTTGTCTATATCTAGATAAAAATTTTAATTTATTGAAAATATTTCAATTGCTGTTAAAATATTGTTAATTAAATTACCTACGCATGTTCCATTATCAAGGCGTTTGAATCCAACTGAACACTCTTCATGTATTATTGATTGTTCATTGCAATAGTATGATCCAAGTGTATTTATACAACCAGCACTGCAAAAATTTGCTATACTAGCGTTTTTGCACTCATCTACATCTTTAATGCACACCAAAAAAATTAAGTATCACAGTAAGGGTTTCAAATAATCTTTTACCATTTTTTACCTTGGCAAGTTTTCCAATCATCCATGAGTTCCCATCCATCTGGACAAGTGCAGAAAGCTCCTCTTCCTAAAGGCAAATTAATGCAATTATGGGAGCATCCAGCGGCTCCAGATAAGCAGTCGTTTTCGCCCCAACAATTGTGACCATCGGCTGCAAGACGTGTCCCGCGTAAACCCTCACGTTGGCCACAACTGCAAACGTAGCTTCCCCAAGTATTTTCGCAAGTATCTTGGCATGGACCGTGCCCATTGTTTAATAGACACTCGTTGATATCTGAAAAATGATAAATAATAAATTAGATTTCTAGATTAAATCGAACTATAAGGATAATTGATAGGCAATGAAAAAAATGATAGGCCACCAAAGCGTCTCAAAAAAAGAATCTGCAATGATTTACTACAAAATATCACTTAACATCTAGAAGGGGCTGTCACTGGATAGCGATCCTTCTCACGCAGTCAAATAATATAGCTGAATGTACTGTGTAGTTTGCTATGAAAAATAAACCAAAAAAAAATTTGTTTAATACTTAAGAATTTTATAAATTATTTTTTTTATTTAAGAAACATTCTAAAAGTTTTTTTTTGCTAGATCTCTTCAATTTTTATATAATAATTTACTACTATTAGAATTGTTGAATGATATGAGGTGAATCTCAGATAGAATTGACAATTGACTATCTATTAATGCTCACTGTTTTACAAATTTTATAGATTCTAAAATTTAACAATAAAACCATATTGTTGATTTGCGTTTTTACAAAT